GATCTGCTTAGGATCTGACTCCCTTTGACAGTGGAAACTCAGCGCATCCATACCTTAATCCTTATTATTGAGCAAATGACACCACTTCCCTTTTCCTTGAATTTCTGGTAAATCAGGTGTTACAAGAGGTAATCAAAGGACTGCTTGTTGACTCTTGAGCTGAACACGGGCTCCCCACCCTGGAATCCTTTGCCCTTGGAATGTATCTTCCACTCCACCATTTCACAGTGGGAACCTTAAAAAAAAGTGTTGTGTGACAATCTGGACAGTATGTATGACTGGCTGCAGTTAAGGCCTCTTTATAAACTTTAAGATTCTGGCAAGTGAATGCCAAGATCTAGTCATTTTGTAGCCGCCCAAGATAAGCTCTCATGTAAGTTCCCTTGTTTATTAAACCTACCACTTACTAAGAGAAAAGCAGTTAGTTACCTACAAGGAAGCTCCCATAAGACTGTCTCAACAGAAACTTTGCAAGCCAGAAGGGGTTGGCACAAAAATTCTCAAAAAGTGCTGAAAAGCAAGAACCTGCAACCAAGATCACTCTACCCAGCAAAGGGATCATTTAGAATCAAAGCCCAAGTAAAAAGCTTCCCAGACAAGAAAAAAGCTATTATCACCAAACCACTATTACAAGAAATCTTACAGGTTCTTCTTTAAGAAGGAAAAAAAAAAAAGATAAAAACTATGAATAATAAAATGGTAATAAATACATATTTATTAATAATTACAATTACTTTATATGCAAATAGATTAAGTGCTCCATTCAAAGAACATATGGTGGCTGCATGGATAACAAAATAAGATCCTTATATATACTTTCTATAAGAGGCTCACTTCAGAACAAAAGATACACACAGACTGAAGATGAAGGGATGGAAGAAGATGTTTCATAAAAATGAAAACAATAAAAAAAGCTGGAGTAGCAATACTTACACCAGACAAAATAGATTTTAAAACAAAGGCTATAACAAGAGACAGAAAAGGACCCAGCGATTCCACTTCTGGGTATTTATCTGAAGAAACCCAAAACACTAAATCAGAAGGACAGATGTATCTGTATATTCACTGCAGTGTTATTTACAACAGTCAAGATATGAAAACAATCTAAGCGTCCATAAACAGACGAGTGTATAAGGAAGAAGTGGTCCATATAAACAATCAAATATGACTCAGCCATTAAAAAAAAAAAAACCTGAAAGCTTGCCATTTACAACAGCATAGATGGACCTAGAAGGTATTGTACTGTGAAATAAATCAGACAGGGAAAGACATAAGCCGTATGATTTCACTTATATGTGGAATCTAAAAAACAAAACAAAACAAAACAAAATGAACAAGCAGAGCTGATGCAGACTCCAAGGTACAGAGAACGTTTTTACAGTTGCCAGATGGGAAGGGGTTGGGGGGATGATGAAAAAGATAAAAGGGATTAAGAAGTACAAAGCTGTAGTTACAGAATAGTCATGGGGATGTAGAGTGCAACATACAGAATATAGGCAAAAATATTGTACTAACTATGTAGGGTGCCAGATGAGCACTAGATTTATCAAGGCGATGACTTCATGTCCATAAATATCTAATCACTATGTTTTACACCAGAAATTAATATAATTGTATGTCCACTGTAACTGAAAAATTTAAAAAAATGTTTTAGAAATTCTGTAATTACTTTATGAATAGCATAATTAGATTGCTGGACATTGTCATCTGTGATAGAACATTAAGATAAAGTTAACTCAAAATAACCCAAAACCCCTGCCACCCCCAATCTGGAGCGCTCTGCCTCTTTCTTTGGTCTTTCTTTGCCCTCCAAGTACAGGGCCAGTTTGTGTACCAAACCCAGGGTTTTTTGTCTCTACTTCAGTCCTCTGAGCAGTTGACACCCATCTCTTTTTTCCCCTTTCAATATACATTTCTTGAACATCAGCAAGGGCTGGATTTGGGAAGAAGAAATGTCTATTGACTATGTGAGTATGAAAATAATCTCACCGCTCAATGCACTCCATTTACTCAGTCAATGATAAGTGCCTACTCTGAGCAGTCCAGTGTGAAGCTCTGGAAATAAAAAAAGTGAATAGGAAAGCTCTGGCAGGGTGGCTCAGTGGGTTGGAGCATCATCCCATACACCAAAAAGATTTTGGATTTGATCCTCTCTAGGGGTGTATACTGGAGGCAACCAATTGATGTTCCTCTCTCACATCGATGTTTCTCTACCTTTTTCTCCTTTCTCTCTAAAATCAATAAGCATATCCTCAGCTGAGTATTAAAAACAAAGTAAATAGGACATTCCTTTTTCGTTCCCTTGGAGCCCAGAAGTTGCTATCAGGCACCAATGCTTTTGGGTAGAGTGTTAAAAATCATTTGACTACTTTTTTCCCTAAATGTTCCTCCTCTTTGCTGAGAGCACTGTTTTAACTGGACAAGGATACAGAGCTCAGATATGTTCCAGATATGCAGCTGAGTTCCCTGTGGGCCACTAGGAACAGGTAGACAAGGGACAAGTAGACAAGAACCTGATTATCAAGGATGAAGAATTTGGGTTTTGGCTCAGCGACACCAGTACCAGCTGAGGGTAGCTGGGATGATCAAGCACAGAAGAGATTCAAATGACACAAGAACTGGTCCATTTGTTAGAGTGACAGCCAGAAATGGGTCAGTAGCCCATTCACTCCAGGGAGACGTGAACGTCTTGTAAACAGTAACCAGCCATAGTGAAAAAATTTGAGGTCATCCACTGGGAGAAGCTACCCTCGGGCTGACCCCAGACGGCACCTGGAGTGTGATGTGCACAGGTCTGGTCTCTCTCAGGGCTCCAGGTCGTCTTGGGGGGCCATTTCTTCTCTGTAGGGCTTTGTTTGGCTTGGCTCTGAATCTTGACTCCCAAGAACTGCAGTATGGTTGCCATGGGGAACTGGTTTAGCAAATTTTCACTTAGCTAACTTCCCTGTCCTGACAATCACCCTCAGGGCAGGGAGAGAAACTCACAGTCAAAGAGAATTCACCCTGGGACTGAAATCACAGGGCAATTCTTCTGTAAGACAGAAGGTAAGGTTGAGTTAACCACATGCCCACTTCAAAGTCACAAGAGTTTTCCCATTTTGATGGAGCTGGTGAGGCAGGCTGTGCAGTGGAGCCAACGCTGACTGGCCTTGAGGACACAGCTCCCGGGCGCAAGTCCTAGCCCCGATGTGGGCCACCGAAGTTGGAACAAGTCAAGAAATCTTCCATAAGCTGGGTCTGCTCATTTGTGAAATGGCTCGCATGTTATTAGGAGGGGTGACTTAAGGAGGATAATGTTTATGAAAACCCTTTGTAGGCGCGGAGGTCATTTTACTACGTGAACACGGTAAGTACAATGCTTTGCCGATTAGTGTTTTCCAGGAAAGCCTAACATCCCTCTTCGAGCTGTTTCTAGACTCCAGCTGTCTGCAGTTGCTGTTTCCGAGCTCCCCTCTAGCAGGGCTTCTCGTTTCTGCTGGCGGCCCAGAGGCTCAGAGCCAAATTTGGGACTCACCTGCGCCACAGCTGTAGCTCCTCCTGGCATTTCTTTCTGCTCACTTTCCTGACTTATTTGGTGCTATTTGTTCTCCTCATTATTTACACCACCTTGTATTTTATGTGTCTCTGTCTTACATTCTTTTTGGGGACAAAGCAGGGTGTAATTAAGTACATACTGTATACACATAGAAACACTGGTTATTTTCCATGCCATTGTTTTGTCTCCTTTAAAAATATGTCACGTTTGTGACTTAGGCTGGGTCATCGTAAAATACAAATGCAATCACACCTGAGATGACTAACAGGAAAGCATCCAACTCGGCACTGGGCCCTTGAAAAGATTCCTGCAAATGCTAATTTCATCAGAAATTCACCAGACTCTTCCAGGCATAAAGGCATTAAGTGGCTTCGCAGGTCTGTTAGACAGATTTAACTCACTCCAGCTTTCCTCCCGGTGTCTTCTGCCCAAACAAGTCCGGTGGAGTACGGGGTGAAGTGAACAGTGGAGGCGGACAAAGGCTGAACTTGGTGAACCCAAGTGTAAGGGGTGAGGGTGAGGGGTGTGGAGGAGGAAGGGACCAGGTGAGGGGATGACGCTCCTGGACGCCAACACAGCTTAGCCGGGAAGGAAAGGAAGGGGACCGTGGTGGTAAGGAGACTAGAGGTGGGCACATAGATTTTATTGTTCTTTTAAGGTAGAGAGAGAATTCTGATTACCCACCGAGGGGAAGGGGCCAGCTAGAGGCTGGGAGGTCTGGCGAGCCGCGCAGGACCCGACTGCAGCCTATCCGGCAGGGCGCGCGGTGCGTAGACTGGCTCCGGCCAGAAGAGGGAGAAGGGAAACAAAGGCTCCTGATCCACGAGTGCCCCTGTCCAGCCCTTCCTTGTCCCTGACCATTCAGAGATTTAGATAAACCGCAGAATCCACGCGGTCCTGCGCAGAGAGGTCCCCTTCTATGAACGCGGACCTCCGACGCTGAGCCGTGGGGCGGGCTTGGGGGTTCAGCGACTGCGGGGCAGAAAGTGCCCGACTAGCCACGCAGGCTTCCAAGTCCCCCAGACGCGGTTGGAATCCCAGCTCCGCTTACCAGCTGATCACCCCCCACTTTGCCTCAGTTTCCCCGTCCTAAAAGTGGGGCTATACCGGTATGAACCTCTTAGGGCTGTTGTGACGAATAAATGGCACAACGTAGATAAAGCATTTGGCGCCGAGCCCGAACCCAGTATCATAAAACAGGAGCTGTGATGACCCTTGTCGCCTTTTCCCAGCTCTCCGGGGCTGTCCGCTGCGAGGTCTGGTCGTCCCCAAACGGCATAGGTGTTCGGACAGAAGCACCAAGCTGGGCTCTTCGAAAGAATCAGGAGGTGGGTGGGGTGGTGGGGTGGTGCTGACGTGGGACTTGGAGACCAACCCAAACTCTCACGCTTCCTCTACCTGCCCCGCGCCCAGAGAATTTCCCGGTGTTGTTACCAAGACGGGACAGTCTGCGGGGTGGCTGCCGAGCTCTGCTCAACCAGCTCGCTCCGCTCTGTCCGGCTGTGTTGGTTCGAGGTGGCCTGATTCAGAATGACCTTGTACAGGTGAGTGTCACCAGAGCACAGGAAAAAATGGGAAGTCAAACCTGGCCAGCGCGGCGCCACCCAGAGAGTGGCCAGATGTGGGGTCTGCGAACGCCAGGGCAAGGGGGAGGCGACAGCTGGTCTCTAAATTCGGTCCGACCCGTCCTCCACGTCCTCCACCCCCGCGTAGGCGGGGGCAGCGGGCAGCAGACGGCGCCCCGGGACGCTGTTGCTGTGCCCCCAGGGAACACTGGTTTTCCAGTTAAGAAATTCGACATGGCGACGGAGGTTGCCTCTCGTTGGAATCAAGAAGCTCTGGGCCTTTTTCCTGCAGTCGGGACCGATCGCCTCGGGGATGTGGGTCCCCCACCCGCGGGCTCTGGACGGTCGGGGAGCTGAAGCTGCGTCCCTTCCGTGGCTCCATAAAATAATACCCGAACAGGCAGGATTTGGGGAAGTCGACTTTCAGGTCCACGCCCACGTCCTGGAGCACTAAAGAGCCTCTAAGGAGGAGAAGCGTACTAATTGACGCGAGAAAGGAGACCCTGCGGGTCTACCTTAATGTTTATAAACTACTTAGAAGGATCAGAGATACAGCTTGAGCCTTTTTATTCCCACAGTTTCTCTTTTCTTTGTAGAACAACCAGTTAGTACCGACAGGGAAGTCATCCTGTGAAAATAGGCTGGTGAGCTGATGTTTTAGGAGCAATAAAGGGACGTTCACTTTGTACAGGGGAGGAGCCGGAGAGAGGGCAAGGGAAGCATCCTTTGTCCCCGTCGAACGTCTCCGGCTAAGGCTTGCGGTCCTGCCGTTCTCTTCCCCAACATCGCCCCCCGCCGCGCCCCACACATTCCTTACTGTCGCGGCCAACCTAGGAATCCTGGCACCGCGATAGGAACTAGTGCTCGTAAATTTAGAGCAGGTTAGTGCTTGTCCAGCTGAATTTTCCAGCTGGACTTTTTCTGCACGATTGTACAGCTAGACCCTTACATAAAGGTCTGGGTTTTAACTCATGTTGTTTGCTGAATTCATACCTCTGCTCTCTTAAGGCTACTGGCTGGTGTGACCTTGGGGAAATTAAAGTTCCTCTGAAGGAACTTCTTTTAAACTTCTCTGTGCTTCTAAGTTTTCTTTTTCATTTAAAAAAGTGTCTGATTTTGAGATGGATACTTCTGATCTTGTCTTTATAAGATGAAGCCATGTAATAATGGGGAAAAGGTAGACTTGGGGTTCAACCTTAATTTTCATAAGCTACGAAGGGTCAGGAATACATTTTGTCCCTCTTTATCCCCAAGATTTCTTTTCTTTGTGTTTTTCAAAAGTCAGCTCGCTTTTTCACAATCATTTGACAAAGAAGTCAGCTCATGCAAATGCAAAGACGTGTTCATGAGAAAATGTTTCATAAGTGTTAAAAAAAGCACGCAGTGTACAGAGGATGAGGTGCTCCAGTGCACTCTACCCTACCTAAGGAAATGACTTACTGCTTTGCAATAGACTCAGTAAGGGGTTGTTGGTAAATTCCTTTTCTACCCGATGGAGCACTTATGTGCTATGTATATGACCTGTTTTAGAATGTCCCAGCAGTGCTCACAGCAGTGCCTTTTGAATAAAGTACTTTTAACTCAGTCACTCTACAGCTGTGGAACTTGAAGAAATTTCCCAAGGAATACACTGGAAGGAGCAGATTGGAATTCAGTTCTATTTGAGGCTAAAGCCGATGCTTTTTGATTGTGTGGGACGTTTTGTTCAATGAGAATTTGTTAACCCTACTGTGTGCTAGGTAATGCACTAGGTGCTAGGGGTACAGCTGTCCCAATCTTCTGGAGAAGTGGCAACTGTATCATATTTGACATCATCAGCTGCTCATTTTTAACCCACCTCCTCTATAGAGCAGAATTATTTTCTGTAATAACTGCTAATGATGATTATTTTCTTATTTTTTTATTTCATTTTAAGACAATTAAGAGTAAGCTACATTTTTTTAAAAAAGATACTCAAATTGGGTAAAATATTTTATGTGAGTTGAAATCCTCACATACCAAACAAAATATTATACTTGGCAGTTTACAGTGCTTTAAAGCATAAGTAATAAAATGTGCTAATTTGAAGCTCATATATATTATTAAGACTTGACAGTAACTGTGGTAATTGCCTAGGATCTTGATCTTTACCCTCTTAGATATGATTGAGGACCCCAAAGAACTTTGGTTTATGAGGATTGTATCTATTCCAATTAAAACTGAGGAAATCTGAAACAAATCAGCCGTTGCTGGTGTGGCTCACTATTGGCTGGAGTGTCCAAAAGGGTTTGACTTTGATCCCCAGTGTGGCTGTGCAGGAAGCAATGGATTGATGTTTCTCTCTCCCTCTTCCTCTCTCTCTCAAAAAATCAATGAACATGTCCTCAGGTAATGACTTAAAAAAAAAAGAAGAATCATAAACCTACCAGGTAGTATCATAATGTATTTTAGTGAAAAATAGCCGTAAGAAGTTGAAGGCTTGACTGGGGCTGATGGATACACTTCCTAGTTCACTCATGTTCCTATTGGCTGCACGGATCAGTTTTCTACCTGGCTCTCCATGGGCACCTCACAACATGGCAGCTGACTTCCCCTGAGCTAATTATCTGAGAGACAATGTGCTGCCAAGACAAAAGCCACAATACAATGTCTTCAAAAGCCACAGTGTCTTCTACTACTTAATTTCAGAAGAGACCTTTGCTGTGCTATGTCAACATAGAAGTGACTTTTGCTGTTCTAGGTCAAAATAGAAGAAACCTTAAGCAATAATTTAATTATTTCAATTAATCGCAGGGTTTGGATAACTTTTTTTAGCTGAAAGCTTTTTGAGAAAAAATAGGAAAAGCCAAACTTACCACCCAACCCAAGCAAAATGATAACTGTGGAAGCAACGTGGTTGCCAAAACAACAAATGAATGGTCTAACCCCTCTTGAGTCTTGGAAACTATACCCCCTTACCAAGAAGGAATGAGGGAATAAGTCTGCACATTATTTAACCACACTGAACGCCTTGAGGGCACGGTCTGTTCCTGATCTATTTTGGTATTCTAGATAATTGTCTGGCACATAGTGAGTGCTCAGTACATTTTTACTAAATTAAATTGGATTTTTGCAAAATTTACACATCTGTAATGTATGTTTATATTGTATATATGCTGTATAAATATCCTACTTGGGTGCATATCCTACAAAAGCAGGCTCTGCCTTATATGCATGTATTTCCAAATACAAACTGCAGTAGCGGTGTCCAACATTTTTGCATCTCTGGGCCACATTAGAAGAAGAAGAGTCCTCTTGGGCCACACGCTAATACACAAACACAAATGAAAACTGATGAGCAAAACAAAGGTTTTAAGTAAATTTATGATTTTGTGTTGGGCTGCACTCATTGCCATCCTGGGCTGCGTGCAGCCCACAGCCACGGGTTGGACACCCCGGTGTGTAGAGTCCATAGTGGTCATATGTGCATGACCACCGCTAAAGTTTCTTGTGTTTTAGAGTTCCAACTAGTATGTACGTACTCTGACTAAAGCCACTCTGTATAGCACCAGTTCTTTATAATACTGTCTCTTAAACATTTTCCTAAATAAAAAGGTCAAGTGACCCTTTTCAGTACATGCTTGATGTATACTTTTTTACACTCACGCCAAGACTGGAGATAGTGTTACCACACTTCAACTAGTAAGCTTCCCTATACCACCCAATCACACCCCCTCAGCCAAGGAGTGCGTCACCGCATCATGAGGTCAGCATGGCTCTCCATTACGGCTCATTATTCGCATGAATGGCCTCTCCCTGCCATTCACTTTAGCCTGTGGACAGTCCTGATCCACAAAGGCTGAGGAAAGTGGGCAGACAGTGGAGATGGACTTGAACAAAGAAACCGAGAGAGTATATAACAGGGTGCTAAAACGCTAGTTTTATGAAGGCTCTGTGTTTTTAAGGAAATGGTTGACAAAACAGAGGGTTAGGACCAGCAGGTAACTGGGGACTTACCGAAGCTGTGCAGTAGTATATTTCTAAGTATTGCTTTTTAGCTGCTTCCCAGAGGTTTTGATGTGTGGTATTTTCATTATGATTTTGGTCAAACTATCGTTTAATTTCCAGTGTGGTTTATTCTTTGACCCATGGTTATTTAGAAGTGTATTTCTGAATTTCTGAAAACAGGGATTTCATTGCTAGTTTAATTGCAGGGGGGGCAGAAAATATATTCCATATTATTTAAATGCTTTGAAATTTTGGACACTTGTTTTAGGACTCAGAATTTGTTCAGTTATTGTAAGTGTTCTGTGTACATTTGAAAAGATTGTCTATTTTACATTCATTACATGCAGTGTTCTATATATGTTCATTTACATCGTTTGCTGATTGTTTCAAATTCTTACTAATTTTTTTGTTTGCTTGCTCTGTTAGTTAGGAAAAGTAGTATGTTAAAATCTCTCACTTTGATTGTGGATTTGTCTCTTTTTTTAATTGTAATTCTATCAACATTTTGCTTTATATAGTTTGAGGCTATGTTATGAGAATAAGGAATTATAATATCTTCCTCTGAACTGAATATTTTATCTTTGAAGTATTCCTCTTTATCTGTGGTTTTGGCTTTTTGTCTTAAAAGTCTAGTTCATTTGATATTAATATATAATTAGCAACTCTATCTTGGTTACAATTAGTATAGTTATCTTTCTTTTACTTATCTTTTTTTTGCTTCTCTTGCAAACCACATATAATTGGGATTCTCTTTTTCCTTCAGTCTGACTGCTTTGTGTTCTAGTCGGAGTATTTCATTGATTTATGTTTATGTAATTGTTGATACATTATGTGACTGATTATTTCACTGTAACATTTCATTGAGTGCTTTCTATTTGTTCTGCTGAATCTATGTTCTTTCTTTTTCTTGCACTTTTTGATATTATTTTTTATTATTCCATTTTCTTGTCTATTAGCTTGAAAGTTAACTCACTATTTGTACTATTTAAAAGTTATTCACAAAAATAAATAAA